ATATACACACACACACACCATACAGACACCCAACATACACACACAATACATACACACCATACACACACCCAACATACACAACATACACACACACACCATACACACACACCATACACACACTCAACATACACACATCCAACACACACACAATGCATCCATGATGTTGTGTGGATGCGCCGATGCCGGAACAGCGTGTTGGTAATTACAAGCCCATGGGCTGCACAAAAATCCAGCAGCCTCCTACCGTTGTTATTGAGCTGATCTGGCCCATGCCTTCCTATCACTCCAGACCAAGTGCCAGCATCATGACCAACTCGGGCATTGAAGTCACCCAACAAGATGACTCTATCCCGAGGGGCCACTTTAGCCAGCACCTGTGACAGGAGGTCATAGAAGGCATCTGACTCATCGGCTTTAAAACTGCATCCCTCCACGGATGTTCGTCTTCGGTGGGGGCATAAGTAACCACGACCACAACTCCTCGCCTCTGGTTGATGGGAAGGCGACCCCAAAGTAGCCTGGGGCTTACAGCTTCCCACACCTCATCGCCACGCTCCCACGCCCCCTTCATTCTTTTGTTCAAAAGAAGAGCCACACCCTGTTGTTTAGCAGTTTGCTGCCCCGAGTAGAGGACTGTCCACCCCTCATGGTGGCAGGAGCCAGAACCGGTCCACCGGACCTCCTGAATGCCACAGAGATCCAGGTGGTACCGGTCCAGCTCCCGACAGAGAAGTGGCAGCCTCTTCTCCGCAGTGAGCGTTCGAACATTCCACGTGGCCACACGAAGTGGATTTTCGTTGTTTCTGGAGGAGCCCCGAGGGTAGAGATTCAATCTCCTAGCTCCGCCAATTGGGGTTTGGCCAGGAGACGTCATAGACGCCTGTCCCCCCGGGCCTCCGGCACAAGCTTATTTGTTAAATTTTTAATTCGTGGTTTCGTGGTAAATTTTTGAAGGTGGAGGGGTTACCAGCCCCTTGCACCCATCCAGAGCCCCCGTTTAGTCCCTGTGGTGGTCACAGACGCTATGTGTGGAGAGGCCAATCGGAATTGGCCCTCCCCCCACAGCACTGTCCACGACAGAGTTGCCCGTCCGGCACCGCGAGAAGGTAGGCGGTTGTTTTACCAGACACACACCATACACACACACTATACACATACACACCATACACACACTAAACATACACACACCATACACACACCCATCATCATGATAGCTCAACCAAGTGGTTTATCATCATTAGCATCACGTGGACATTTATGGCAGCACCTAAATACCCTAAACGGGTGGTGATCTTCATTCCAAATGTGGAGGTAAGACCCGGACAGGACGCGGAGAAAAATCCACGCAATCACGGAGAGAGAGAGAGAGACGCAGACTCCAAATCATACAGCAGGCATTGTCATGGTCGAGATCAAACCCACAACCTCCCGTATAGCAGGCGTGCTAGTTTACATCTCATAGCCACCGTGGCACCCCCTGTGCTGTTAGGGGCCGTCCATAAATGACGTCACGCGATTTTGGACGATTTTTGACCCACCCCCCCTCGTCACACGGCGTCACGAAAAGTCAGAACCCCCCCTCAAATATGACGTCACAAAGCTCTGCCCCCCCCCCCCCAATAAAACGTGCTTCAAATCGCTTTAAACTATTGTCATTGTAGTGCGTATTTAATGTGGCGCTGCACTCTGATGTTGTAGGAGAAAACATTTATTAAAAAGTCTATTTAATTAAGTAGAACGTGTTGTCTATATTTATTTAAAGTTGCGCATTTTGATGTGATGTCACATTTCTCACCCCCCCCCTCGTCACACATCGTCATAAATGTCTGACCCCGCCCCCCACCCCCAGGTGCGTGACGTCATTTATGGACGGCCCCTTATTAGCAGCAACTATGAAGGCCGGCACAGTGGCACACGAGGGGGTTGGTGGCCAGCACCACGCCTGGCCGCCAACTGAAAGTATTCACGAACTCGCAAGACTGGGGGAGGTGTGGGAACGAAACGGCGGTACAGGATCTGCCTGATGACGTGAGCAAAGTGGAGGCGTTTCATGGCTGTGCGTGGTGTGTGTGCTGTGTGATGTGTGTGCTTGTGCTGTGTGTGTTTGTGCTGTGTGTGTGTGCTATTTGTGTGCGCTGTGTTTGTGCTGTGTGTGTTTGTGCTGTGTGTGATGTGTGTGTGTGTGCTTGTGCTGTGTGTGTGTGTGCTATTTGTGTGCGCTGCGTGTGTGTGCTGTGTGTGTTCTCTATGTGTGTGTGCTGTGTGTGTGTAATATCTCGCTACGGTGGCCAGGAGATGTTAACCATCTCGCCTGGTATACAGGAGGTCGTGGGTTCGACCCCGACCCTGAAATCGGTGTCTGTGTAAGTCTATGCGTCTCTGTGCCAGTCTAAGTGCACCGTATGTAGCCAACAGGGCTAATCCCAGGTTCGGGGTTGGAAGGACAACAAACTAATCACGAAAAACAGTTCTACAGAAGTGAGTCTGTCAATCTAAACTCTTTGGTTCTGTTCGGTAAAGTCACGTAGGTAAAAAATAAAACAACAAAAATCACGACGTTTCAGTCACAACACAAGCGGCCTTCATCAGGTGAAGGGACCAGACTGTCTCGAGGACAGCGCTGGAGTGAACACAGCCAAGCTCAGACCGCGACCTTTAAGCTGTTTGAAAGGAAACAGAGCACCTTGACAAAGGAATTAGCATAAAAATTAGCATTTAATTGGCGGACTTAGCATGATGAACGGTGTAGAGGTGGTGTACATGCAGGTGAACATGCCGGTTGGCCCGGGGGGGAGGGGGAGTTTACATATTGGTGGTGTGAAAAGGGAATTTAAGCAGCTGCGAAAGTTTGGGATACCACTACTTGAAAAAATATACTGTACCATTGAAAATTAGTTTAATGTTTGGTTTGATTCAGAACATCTTTCCAATGGTTGCTTAATTTGAAACCATCCTCTCAGTTGAAATTGTGTCTGTGTTTGTAAATCTGAATTGCCTCGTGAACAAATCTCTGATAAAAACCCGTGTGTTTGCAAAGAACCTTGGTATCGGAGAAAATTATATCGTGATCACCCACAGTGTTGTAACAGTGATCAGCTACGGCAGAAGAATTCGTTCTGCCGTGTTTCAGATCTGACATGTCGTTTCGTCTCCCCAATATAGCAGTCACCACAGGTGCAGATCAATTTGTAAACACCGGGGTACTGTAAGTCAGGAATGACATCCTTCACGGAAGGGATCACGTCACGGATTTTGTGTACTGTATTGAACCGGACCAGGATCTTGTGTTTGTATAGAATTTTGGAGATATTTTTAGTAACGCCTGCTATATATGGTAGTGTGATGGTTTTGATCGGAGTATCAAGTGGTTGTTTCTGTATGGAGAGAGAAACAGCTTGGCGGATGGTACGATCAGAGTATCCATTCCTTTTTAGGGCCAGATGTACATCTTTTAATTCACTGGTCAGGTGGTGTTGGTCCGAAATACAATGAGCCCTGTGGTATAACGTTTTGATGAGAGAATTATTTTGCGGCGGGTGGTGGTGGGAATCAGGTTTCAAGTAGGAATCTGTGCGGGTGGGTTTCCCCCCCCCCCCCCTTCACCTGATGAAGGCCACTTATGTTGTGGCCGAAACGTCGTGATTTTTGTTGTTTTATTTTTTACCTACGTGACTTTACCGAACAGTACCAAAGAGTATGGATCCTTGCAGTCACGAAAGCTTTAAATCTAGAATTTGTCAATCTAGATTATGATGATGAGGATGACGATTTAAAAGTGAGTCGCTCCCAGTGGCTTCCTAATATGGGAAGGAAGTGCGTTCCAGACGGCCGTCTTTGTTCGATGGTTAACTAAAAGAGGCTACCGTGAGGATGACCTGAGGTCACGTGGTGATGGTTTATGTCCATTGACTAGATCAACAAAGATATTATCGTTCGATTCTGGCAAGCGCTTTGTGTGTAAAGAGTGTGACCAATCATCAGATCATCATGCTCATGATTGCTGGTGATTGTTGTTCACTCTGAAGGAGTTGGAGGCACCACTGCTGAACCTCGACTCTTCCACTTAGAGGTGGGGCCTTACCATCAGCCCCACTAAAATTAAGCACCTCCTTGGGTATTCGATGCCATTGTCTTTTCATCAGCTGCGTAACGCTGCTGTTTGGAAACTACCTGGCCTGTCACTCCATACGAAACTTCGGGTCTTCTCGGCCACAGTTACACCCTCCCTTCTCTATGTTTGTGAAACGTGGAGCCATCTAAAGGGACATCTGAGCCAGTTTGCAACATTCAGGCTGGCCTGAATGTTGCAAACATTCAGGCCAGCCTGGTTAAACCTAGTCCTGGGTTTAACCAGACTGGATTGTATGAGGAGCTTACAAATCCTTCAGCGATCTGGACAAAGTCCCATCGGTGAGCTCCTCCGGCAGGCAAGGCTGCATTGGCTGGGTCATGTAGCCCGCATGCCCGGCCACCGCATGCCAAAGCAACTTCTGTTTGGCCGGTTAGAGGGTGCTAAATGGGCCCGACACGGGCTAGAGAAGCGATGGAGCTAATGCAGTACAGGAGGATGTGAAGCTGAGAGGACTTGCTGATGAACGGTAACAGCGGTGTCAAGATCGGCCGCAATGGAGGAGGCTCGTGTAGAACGCTTCTGGGCAGTTGGAGGCAGCCACCCTACAGCAACAATGGAGGGCAGAGGAGCAACGCTCACAACGAGCGGAGCGCCGGGCGGCTAAAATGTGGCAAGTTGGCACAGTAGGGGGCACAGCTGGTGGACACATCGGTCAATCATCTCAGTCAATCGATCCGTGGCACCTGGATCTGTCCCGTAACCTACTCAAAGTGCACCTAGCCTGGCACAAGCGCCGTGGTGAGGTCACCATGATTTAGTGGTGCATGTCGGGTATTGGTAATGGTGAGTGTACGTAGTGGGGGTTGGTGGTGGTGGTGGTGTGTATACAGGGGGTGGGTGGTTGAGTGCTGAGTGTAAGAGACATTACCAGCTCCACAATGGCCAGGATCCCGTCGGCCGAGCGTAAGTAGTTGAAGTTACAGGTGCAGGTAACCGATGCAACGCGCTGAGTCGTGGTGGCAGTGGTGGCAGTGGTTGCGTGCGTGTTCACGCTGGCCATGGTGGTGGTGTCACCCGCTTTGCCTGCAACTGACAAATAGACACTAAGACAAAGATTCACCTCCCACCGTATCGCTTTTAACAGACTGTTCTGGAACAATCTAGATTTGAAGTTTTCGTGACTGCAGGGATCCATACTCTTTGGTTCTTTCGGCAAAGTCACGTAGGTAGCAAATAAAATGAAATAAATCACGACGTTTCGGGCGCAACACAAACGTCCGTCATCAGGTGGGACGACCACAGCAAGATACAATTGCTGAAGTGGGCAAGAGGGCTGCTGTGGCAAGAGGCTTTATACTGTAGGTCAGAGAGGGGGGAGGAGCCTCTTGTCGGTAAGAGAGGGGGGAGGAGCCTCTTGTCGGTAAGAGAGGGGGGGAGGAGCCTCTTGTCGGTAAAAGAGGGGGGAGGAGCCTCTTGTCGGTAAGAGAGGGGGGAGGAGCCAGGGGGGAGAGATAGAGAGGGGGGTGTGGGGTAGGGGGAGGAGAGTGCTGCGAAAACGTTGAGAGTACGAGCAGACAAAATGCCGGGGGGGGGGAGGGGAAGTGGGGGGGGCTGGGAGTAGGGAGCTGAAACAAAATGCGGGGGGGGGGGGGAAGTGGGCGGGGCTGGGAGTAGGGAGCTGAAACAAAATGCGGGGGGGGGGGGAAGTGGGCGGGGCTGGGAGTAGGGAGCTGAAACAAAATGCGGGGGGGGGGGGGAAGTGGGCGGGGCTGGGAGTAGGGAGCTGAAACAAAATGCGGGGGGGGGGGGGGAAGTGGGCGGGGCTAGGAGTAGGGAGCTGATACAAAATGCCGGGGGGGGGGGGGGGGAAGTGGGCGGGGCTGGGAGTAGGGAGCTGAAACAAAATGCGGGGGGGGGGGGGAAGTGGGCGGGGCTAGGAGTAGGGAGCTGAAACAAAATGCCGGGGGGGGGGGGGGGGAAGTGGGCGTGTTTGATTTGGTGCTTTCGTGACTGCAGGAATTATTCTTTGTTTTTTTTTTTGTTTTTTTCGGTAAAGTCACGTAGAAATAATAAATAAAATAAAACGATATAATAGCATACGACGTTTCGATTGCAACACAAGCAATCATCATCAGGTACAGAAGAGCTAAATTTAAGAGAGAGAGAGGAAACACATAACCGCAGATATATATACAAACCTTAAGTAGAGGGAATTAACACAGATATACCAGGGGACACAGAGAGAGACGGAGCATCACACTAAATCAAACAGGGTTTAGCAAATTTTGGAAACTATATAAAGCAACACAGACGGTCGGTTAAAACACAATTAACGCATGTGCTGGTAGATTACGCTATTTCAAAGATTGCTAAATTGTAAGTTAAGTGTGAAATTTAAGAGAGCGATAGAGCACAGACCGTAAAGAGACATATGGGGAGAGACACGCACACAGTGAAGAAGTGAAGCCGCATCTCTGTGACGACCACCTTAAATAGACAGAGAAGGTGGGACTGGGACTCAGAGACAATGGGACAAAAAATTATTAGCATGAAGAGAGCACATACCATTGTCTGTGAGTCCCAGCCCCACCGTCTCTGTCTATTTAAGGCGTCGTCACAGAGATGCGGCTTTGCTTCTTCACTGTGTGCGTGTCTCTCCCCATATGTCTCTTTACGGTCTGTGCTCTATCGCTCTCTTAAATTTCACACTTCACTTACAATTTAGCAATCTTTGAAATAGCGTAATCTACCAGACCATGCGTTAATTGTGTTTTAACTGACCGCCTGTGTTGCTTTATATAGTTTCGAAATTTTGCTAAACCCTGTTTGATTTAGTGTGATGCTCCGTCTCTCTCTGTGTCCCCTGGTATATCTGTGTTAATTCCCTCTACTTAAGGTTTGTATATATATCTGCGGTTATGTGATTCCTCTCTCTCTCTTAAATTTAGCTCTTCTGTACCTGATGATGATTGCTTGTGTTGCAATCGAAACGTCGCATGCTATTATTTAATTTTATTTTTAATTATTTATACGTGACTTTACCGAAAAAACCAAAGAGTAAGTGGGCGTGTTGTTGGGAACAAGCGCTGGAAGGGAGGAGGAGCAGAGAGAGTGAGACATGCAGACCGCAAATTTATAGCAGCCAAATAACTCTCTGAATGCGTGACGTTGATTCTGCACGTGGAGGGGAAACATCGGAGGAACCGGAGAACATCCTCGCGACCACGGGGGGAGAGAGAGGGAGGGACGCAGGCGACAGGGTCGAGATCGAACCCACGACCTCCTGTATACCGGGCGAGAGAGTTAACATCTTGCCACACACACACACATGGTTACACAGCCACAAAGGAACTCTCAGAACCGGGCTAAGGGCAGCCGTAGGGTTCAACGTTCACGGCCCAGGCCGCCTTTGTCTCCCCTAGTGGCGATGCGCACTATATTCCGCACCGGGTACTCATTTCAGGCCGAGTCGACATAGGGAAGGAGGAGACCCAGGGCTGGTTCAGCTAATTCGCTGCCGCTGCTTGTTGTTGTTGTTGGCTGTGATTTGGGGATCGCACCCAGGTTCCTGGGTTCCCTGGCACAATGCGCTAACTGCTGCGCCACCACTCCCCGCGCACAGGTCAACGAAGACAAAGACGTTAGTCTGTTGAACACGTAGGAAGCTTTCGCGACCAATATCATCCACATTGGAGTTTTTTTTGGGTTCGATCGCGTAAATATATAAATGTGTCGTTAAAACCCACCGCCACCGAACACAGCCAACTAGTGAGGATTGTCACGTAAACAGAAGCTGTGACTTCACCGAAAGAACCAAAGAGTATGGATTCCTGCAGTCACGAACGCTTCAAGTCAAGATAGAACGTGGCCAATTCGTCACTAGTACAGCACCAGTGTATAGTGTAGTGTATAGTGTATTGTATAGTAGTGTATAGTGTAGTGTATAGTAGTGTATAGTGTAGTGTATATAGTAGTGTAGTGTGTAGTGTATAGTGTAGTGTATAGTGTAGTGTATAGTAGTGAATAGTGTAGCATACTAGTACAGCACTAGTGTATAGTGTATAGTAGTGTATAGTGTATAGTAGTGTATATTGTAAAGTAGTGTATTGTGTAGTAGTGTATAGTAGTGTATAGTGTAGTGTATATAGTAGTGTATAGTGTAGTGTGTAGTGTATAGTGTAGTGTATAGTAGTGCATAGTAGCGAATAGTGTAGTATACTAGTACAGCACTAGTGTATAGTGTATAGTAGTGTATAGTGTATAGTAGTGTATAGTGTATAGTAGTGTATTGTGTAGTAGTGTATAGTGTATAGTAGTGTATAGTGTAGTGTATATAGTAGTGTATAGTGTAGTGTGTAGTGTATAGTGTAGTAGTGTATAGGGTAGTGTATAGTGTATAGTAGTGTATAGTGTAGTATACTAGTACAGCACGCCGGTTTGTTGGAGAGCCAAGCCACAACATTTACAATCTTGAGTACGACGTTTCTCCAGTAATTACAACCAGCTTCATCAGGCGACAGCCAGATTTGTGGAGAAGTCCACCTGTTGTGTTCCTTATGTAGTGACTCAACTTGGAGAGAAGCAAGACCTGGAGGCACTTCTTTATTTAGGGAGCACCATCGGGATAATACACAACACATTATTATTATTGTTATTATTATTAAGACCGTCTATTGTCGGCGGCACTACTTACAACAGTTGGTGGATGGACTCGTCCATCTGAATAACTGCCAAATCGCTCTACGTGGTGTTAACGTTTTTAAAAAAAAAAACGCCACATTTTTCAATTTTCTCTTGCTGTGGTTTTCACACCTGGCGATGATTTGCTTGTGTTGCAGTCGAAAACGCCGTGAGAATTTTATTGTTTTATATTTTTATTACTTTATTGTTTCCCACCTACGTGGTGACTTTACCGAAAGAACCAAGAATATGAAATCCCTGCAGTCACGAAGGCAACTTTAAATCAGAAGTCGGCAGGCTGCCCGACTAGCGGCGCCCCGGGATGGCGAATACGGAGACGCCGACCAGGAGAACGGTGACGACGACGACGGACTTGAGCAGCACGACGGGGATCCCGTGTCGAGCGACAGCCACGAGGTCCCCCACAGGGGCCCCTCTCACACTCCTAGCGTGGCCTCGCTCCGCCCCCCCGGGCCACGCCCCCTTTCTGGAACCTGCCAGCGGGTTCCCGGGGTTTCCCGATGGGCCCCTTCTGTGACCTTCCCCCCTAGATGTCCCCCTCTCGTATGTATATATATCGTGGCCTGCTGAAGTAAGTTACTGCCGTACGCGGCAGTTACCCTTTTTACACCAGCAGGCAGCGCTATGCCACTACGCTTATATGGAGGCGTTGATGCGGTGACCAAACTTCTGCGCATTATGCGGGCCCATTGATCTTGTCGTTCCTGTCCATTGTGTGTATTAAAATATCTGTACCAACGGTAACCCTTATTGGCCTGTATAGGCATACATTTAAACAATGAATTACTTGATGATGCGCTTCCATGTAGCACTATACACTACTATACACTATACACTACTATACACTATACACTACTATACACTCACTATACACTACACTATACACTACTATACACTATACACTACACTACTATACACTACACTATACACTACACTATACACTACTATACACTTTACACTACTACACTATACACTACACTATTATACACTACACTATACACTACTATACACTACACTATACTCTACTATACACTATACACTACACTATACACTACTATACACTACACTATACACTACTATACACTACACTATACACTACTATACACTATACACTACACTATACACTACTATACACTACACTATACACTACACTATACACTGGTGCTGTACTAGTGACGAATTGGCCAAGTTCTGTTTACTTGACAACCCTTACTAGTTGGCTGTGTCGGGTGGTGGCGGGTTTTATATATTTACGCGATAAAACCCCAAAACATCTACTATGAAAGACAAAGATCCCCGTTATAGCCTTAACAAGCGCTATTAGCGAGGAGAAACAGAGGGAGAGAGAGAGAGAGACGCAGACTTCAAATAGATTTTTCTTTAACCCGGTAAAGGCCCCACTGAGGTATCTAGCGCTTCGTCAGAAGCGACCTGGCTATCACAAATTATAACTCAACGAATTGGCATATTTTTTTACTTAAAACTTTGGTGACCGCAGGAATTCCTATTCTTCGTTCTTTCGGAATGAACGAAGAATATGAAGTGGCATATCATCATCATCACCACCACGTGGAAATGCATGGCAGCCACATACTCTAAACGCATGTTTTTACAGACTCACAGAGACCCATAATAGACCCACAGATACACATTCTTATTGAAACCCATAGACCCAAAGCAACGCACAGCGACCCATACTAAAAGTAAACGAGTTTTATTTTATGAAGTCCGGCACTCTGGCACATGGTGGGGGTTGTGTGACCGGCACCATGTCCCGGCCCCCTTTGTCTCCCCGTAGTGGCGATGTTCACTGCACACCTCACCAGCACGCACTCAATGTGAGGCTGAGTCGACCTAATGGGACGGATTCAATTGCATCCGGCGCTGTTCTTTGACCGTTGGCCGTGAGCGGGACTCGAACTCAGTCGCCCCGCTTCCACGTATAAATGATAGACGCTTAGAGCCCCGTCAATAATTGATAACACTTTCCCAGAAGGGCACATCTATGAGGTTGGTGGGTGGTCAGAACCAAGACCTTTGTGTCCACAAAAAGACAATGTTCATCCACAGAATACACGAAACGTCCATCGTACTCACGTGTGCATCGCTCACTTTTAGATTCTGCTGCTTCTGCTGCCGTCTGGAACGCTCCTTCCTTACGATTTTACGGAAGCCACCGTGGGGCTATACAACTTTTAAATAATCATCTAGATTGACTAACTCACACCTTTAGAACTGCTTGTTGTCGTTGTGTTTAGTTTGTTCTCCTTCCCTCCGCACCTCCGATTAGCACGGTTGGCTACGTACGGTGGCGCGAAAGAAGTTCAAAATACACACAGACTCACACAGAGAACCCATAGACTCACACAGAGACCCATAGACTCACACAGAGATCCGTAGACTCACACAGAGACCAATAGACTCACACAGAGAACCCATAGACTCACACGGAGACCCATAGACTCACACAGAGAGCCACAGACTCACACAGAGACCCATAGACTCACACAGATAACCCATAGACTCACACAGAGACCCATAGACTCACACAGAGACCCATAGACTCACACAGAGACCCATAGACTCACACAGATAACCCATAGACTCACACAGAGACACATAGACTCACACAGAGACCCATAGACTCACACAGAGACCCATAGACTCACGCAGAGACCCATAGACTCACACAGAGACCCATAGACTCACACAGAGACCCATAGACTCACACAGAGACACATAGACTCACATAGAGACGAATAGACTCACACAGAGATCCGTAGACTCACACAGAGACCAATAAACCGCACAAAGACCCATAGACTCACACAGAGACACATAGACTCACACAGAGACCCATAGACTCACACAGAGACCCATAGACTCACACAGAGACCCATAGACTCACACAGAGACCCATAGACTCACAAAGAGACCCATAGACTCACGCAGAGACACATAGACTCACACAGAGACCCATAGACTCACGCAGAGACCCATAGACTCACACAGAGACCCATAGACTCACACAGAGACCCATAGACTCACACAGAGACACATAGACTCACATAGAGACCAATAGACTCACACAGAGATCCGTAGACTCACACAGAGACCAATAAACCGCACAAAGACCCATAGACTCACACAGAGACACATAGACTCACACAGAGACCCATAGACTCACACAGAGACCCATAGACTCACACAGAGACCCATAGACTCACACAGAGACCCATAGACTCACAAAGAGACCCATAGACTCACGCAGAGACCCATAGACACACACAAAGACCCATAGACTCACACAGAGACCCATAGACTCGCACAAAGACACATAGACTCACACAGAGACCCATAGACTCACACAGAGACCCATAGACTCACACAGAGACACAGACTTAAATAGAGACCCATCTTCCTAGAACCGCTCGTTGTTATTGTGTTCAGTTAAGAATGCGTACATCTCAGCAGTTGCTTTCCTGAATAAATAAGTCAATCGTAGATATGGTTTCTTATAAATATCTCTTGGTTCTGCGATGTAGCAACCCACCCGGCACCTGCACTCTCAGACGCGTTCCGTTCCTTGGCTTATCCCGTCGGTGGCAAGGAGATGTTAACTACTTCGCCTGGTATACACGAGGGCGGAGGTGCGTTCCCGACCCTGTGTCTCTCTCGCCCTCTCGCCCTCTCGCTGTGGTTTGCGTGGATTTTTCTCCGGATCACCACGCGTTCAGAGTGTTCGGCTTCTGCTATAAATTTCCACGTGGTGACGATGATGATGATGATGACGATGATGATGATGACGATGATGATGACGATGACGATGATGACGATGATGATGATGATGACGATGATGATCATGACGATGATGATGATGATGACGATGATGATGACGATGATGATGACGATGATGACGATGATGATGATAACGATGATGATGACGATGATGATGACGATGATGATGACGATGATGACGACGACGACGACGATGATGATGATGATGATGACGATGATGGTGATGACGATGATGATGACGATGATGATGAGGATGACGATGATGACGACGATGATGATGATGATGACGATGATGATGATGATGACGATGATGACGACGACGAGGATGATGATGATGACGATGATGACGATGACGATGACGACGATGATGATGACGATGATGACGATGAGCCAATTTGTTAAGCGATCATTTGCGAGAGCCGGGGTCGCTTCTCAGAAAGAGCTATGCGGCTCAGTGGGCCTTGCCTGAAAACATGAAGCAGTCTTGATTTGAAGCTTTCGTGACTGCAGGAATTCATACTCTGTGGTTCTTTCGGTAAAAGTCACGTGGTAGGTATAAAATAATATGAATGACGACTTTTCGATCGCAACACAGGCGATCGTCCTCAGGCGGAAAAAAAAATACATATAATCCGCTGTTCTACTGCTGTGAGTGATTTATCTTATTTTAGTTGCCTACCACCAGCGCATTATAGGAGAACGGACTATGGTTAAAGAACGCAGATGCGCATAGGAGAAAATCGTGTTACCCTCACAGCAAGAAGAACCTGGGTTAGATCCCTGACTCGTGTGTATGATCTCCCTCTCTACGAACGCTGCTGGTTTAACCCCAGGTACCCTGCCTACCTGCCCATAGACAAAGATTCCTCTTGTGTAGCCTGTAACAGACTGTAGAGGTAAGCGCTGCGAGGTGAGCGAGTAGTGCTAACCACTGCGCCACCGCTCCCCACACACACACAGTGCGCTAACCACTGCGCCACCGCTCCCCACACTCATATGCACAGTGCCCTCACCGCTGCACCACCACTCCCCACACACACAGTGCGCTAACTGCGCCACCGATCCCCACACTCGTATACACAGTGCGCTCACCGCTGCACCACCACTCCCCACACACACACAGTGCGCTAACCACTGCGCCACCAATCCCCACACTCGTATACACAGTGCGCTCACCGCTGCACCACCACTCCCCACACACACACAGTGCGCTAACCACTGCGCCACCGCTCCCCGCACTCATATACACAGTGCGCTCACCGCTGCACCACCGCTCCCCACGTACACACACAGTGCGCTAACCACTGCGCCACCGCTCCCCACGCACACACTAACCACTGCGCCACCGCTCCCCACGCACACACACACAGTGCGTTAACCACTGCACCACCGCTCCCCACACACACAGTGCGCTAACCACTGCGCCACCGCTCCCCACGCACACATACACACAGTGCGCTAACCACTGCGCCACCGCTCCCCACACACACACAGTGCGCTAACCACTGCGCCACCGCTCCCCACGCACACACTCACAGTGCGCTAACCACTGCACCACTGCGCCACCGCTCCCCACACACACACACACACAGTGCGCTAACCACTGCGCCACCGCTCCCCACACACACAGTGCGCTAACCACTGCACCACCGCTCTCCCCACGCACACATCCAAAGACAAAGCTCCCCCGTATGGCGTTAACAGACTGTTGGGGAAAGTGCTGTTCGCGAGTAGCACCTATGAAGGCCAGCACTGTGGCACACGAGTTGGTGGGTGGCCAACACCACGCCAGCCTCGGCCGCCTTTGTCTCCCCCCCTCCTCCTTGTGGCGCTGTTGACTCCACACACACAACACCAAGTTGTGTGTTTGTGTAGGCCCGTGACCGCGATCACTGAGTGGCGGCGTTGGTGGTGGCCGTGAGCGGGAATCGAACTCGCGTCTTTTACCGGGTTTGTGGTAGCGCAGGGTAGCGCGCTAATCACTGCGCCACCGCTCCCCCACCCCCCCCCCCCCCCCCCCCACGATATTGTCTATGTCCATTAGTAGCTAAACACTCACAAAGACACACAAACTGTTCACCATAGAGCGGCTATTGTCTTTAAACATCATCCCGAAAGAGTGTTATGTGACTCAAGTTTGACTTTCCCGGATAAATCATTATTAGATAACTGTTATAATTGTTACAATTATAATATGTGTAGTTTAAGCAGCATGGAAACTCACTCTTACCGAAAGTTGAAAATATTCGGTCCTTGTTTTTTTCTCCCCGTTGCTCCAGATAGCGCAGGGGCTGTCAGTGTGATGATGATGTTGTGTGTCTCTGTGTGTATCTCTCTGTGTGTATCTCTCTGTGTGTATCTCTCACTGCGTGGGTGTGTATTATATATGTGTGTATCTCTGTGTATCTCTCACTGCGTGAGTGTGTATTATATATCTGTGTCTGTGTGTATCTCTCTGTGTGTATCTCTCTGTGTGTATCTCTCTGTGTGTATCTCTCACTTGCGTGGGTGTGTATTATATACCTGTGTCTCTGTGTGTGTCTCTCTGTGTGTATCTCTCACTTGCGTGGGTGTGTATTATATATCTGTGTGTGTCTCTGTGTGTATATCGCTGTATGTATCTCTGTGTATCTCTGGGTGTATATCTCGCTGTGTGCGCGTATATGTGCGCGTTATATGGAGTCAGCGTACCAGGAGGTAAATGGTACAACGCGTCATGGAAGGGGCGAGACAGGTAATGGGGAGTGTATTTGTAGACAGAAGGAGTGTACAGGTGGGTGGGGTGGGTGTGTGGTACAGTGAGGGAAAAAAAGTATTTGACCCCCTGCTGATTTTGTACGTTTGCCCACTGACAAAGAAATGATCAGTCTATAATTTTAATGGTAGGTTCATTTGAACAGTTAGAGACAGAATAACAACAACAAAATCCAGAAAAAACGCATGTCAAAATGTTATAAATTGATTTGCATTTTAATGAGGCGAGTTGAGTTGATGCCAAACAGCTCCATTTTGGTCTCATCTGACCACAACACTTTCACCCAGTTGTCCTCTGAATCATTCAGATGTTCATTGGCAAACTTCAGACGGGCATGTATATGTGCTTTCTTGAGCAGGGGGACCTTGCGGGCGCTGCAGGATTTCAGTCCTTCACGGCGTAGTGTGTTACCAATTGTTTTCTTGGTGACTATGGTCCCAGCTGCCTTGAGATCATTGACAAGATCCTCCCGTGTAGTTCTGGGCTGATTCCTCACCGTTCTCATGATCATTGCAACTCCACGAGGTGAGGGAGATTGACAGTTCTTTTGTGTTTCTTCCATTTGCGAATAATTGCACCAACTGTTGTCACCTGCTCACGAAGCTGCTTGGCAATGGTCTTGTAGCCCATTCCAGCCATGTGTAGGTCTACAATCTTGTACCTGACATCCTTGGAGAGCTCTTTGGTCTTGGCCATAGTGGAGAGTTTGGAATCTGATTGATTGATTGCTTCTATGGACAGGTGTCTTTTATACAGGTAACAAGCTGAGATTAGGAGCACTCCCTTTAAGAGTGTGCTCCTAATCTCAGCTCGTTACCTGTATTAAAGACACCTGGGAGCCAGAAATCTTTCTGATTGAGAGGGGGTCAATTACTTATTTCCCTCATCAAAATGCAAATCAATTTATAACATTTTTTACATGCGTTTTTCTGGATTTTGTTGTTGTTATTCTGTCTCTCACTGTTCAAATAAAGCTACCACTAAAATTATAGACTGATCATTTCTTTGTCAGTGGGCAAACGTACAAAATCAGCAGAGGATCAACTACTTTTTCCCTCACTGTAGGTGAGTGGGCGCGTGAATGAGCGGGTGGGTGAGTGGGTGGGTGGGTGTGTGAGTGGGTGGGTGAGTGGGTGGATGTGGGTGAGTGGGTGGGTGAGTGGGTGAGTGGGTGGGTGAATGGATGGGTGTGTGAGTGAGTGGGTGAATGGGTGGGTGAGTGGATGGGTGTGTGAGTGAGTGGGTGAGTGGGTGGGTGAGTGGATGGGTGAGTGAGTGGGTGAGTGGGTGGGTGGGTGAGTGAGTGGGTGAGTGGGTGGGTGGGTGGGTGAGTGGGTGGGTGGGTGGGTGAGTGGGTGAGTGAGTGAGTGAGTGGGTGAGTGAGTGGGTGGGTAAGTGGGTGGGTGAGTGAGTGGGTAGGTGAGTGGGTGAGTGGGTGGGTGGGTGAGTGAGTGAGTGAGTGGGTGGATGGGTGAGTGAGTAGGTGGGTGAGTGGGTGGGTGTGTGAGTGAGTGAGTGAATGAATGGGTGAATGGATGGGTGAGTGGGTGGGTGAGTGAGTGAGTGAGTGGGTGAGTGAGTGGGTGAGTGGGTGGGTGAGTGGGTGGGTGAGTGAGTAGGTGGGTGAGTGGGTGGGTGAGTGGATGAGTGGGTGAGTGGGTGGATGAGTGGATGGGTGAGTGGATGGGTGAGTGGGTGAGTGGGTGGAGACCCGTTGACCCACTGAGACCCACGCCAACCCACAGAGATCCACACTAAAACTAAACTATATTTTTTTTACCAGGTAAGGCCCCACTAAGCTATATAGCTCTTTTTTTTCAGAAGCGCACTTGGTTAGCACGAATGATAGCTCAACGAAGTGGCGCATCATTAACGCGTGCGAGTCTATGGCAGCAGTAGCCAAATGACTCACTCTAAGCACGTGGTTGTTGGTTCTAAATGTGGAGGGGGGGAAACTGGCGGAACCGGAGAAGAATCCACGCCACCACGCGAAGAGACTTTGGACTTTTTATTTAAACAACTTTTTATCGCCGCCGGCAGCAACATCACTGAAGGCGATCCCAATACGAAACACACAAAAGTCACCAGCAACACAAATAACACAAAGTCACCAGCAACACAAATAACACAAAGTCGCCAGCAACACAAATGACACAAAGTCACCAGCAACACAAATAACAAAAAGTTACCAGCAACACAAATACACAAAGTCACCAGCAACACAAATAACACAAAGTCGCCAGCAACACAAATAACACAAAGTCACCAGCAACACAAATAAAACAAAGTCACCAGCAATACAAATAACATAAAGTCACCAGCAACACAAATACACAAAATCGCCAGCAACACAAATACACAAAGTCACCGGCAACACAAATACACAAAGTCACCAGCAACACAAATACACAAAGTCACCAGCAACACAAATAACACAAAGTCACCAGCAACACAAATACACAAAGTCACCAGCAACACAAATACACAAAGTCACCAGCAACACAAATACCACAAAGTCACCAGCAACACAAATACACAAAGTCATCAGCAACACAAATAACACAAAGTCACCAGCAACACAAATACACAAAGTCACCAGCAACACAAATACACAAAGTCACCAGCACCACAAATAACACAAAGTCACCAGCAACACAAACACACAAAGTCACCAGCAACACAAACACACAAAGTCACCAGCAACACAAATAACACAAAGTCGCCAGCAACACAAATACACAAAGTCACCAGCAACACAAATACACAAAGTCACCAGCAACACAAATAACACAAAGTCACCAGCAACACAACACAAAGTCACCAGCAACACAAATAACACAGTCACCAGCAACACAAATACACAAAGTCACCAGCAACACAAATAACACAAAGTCACCAGCAACACAACACAAAGTCACCAGCAACACAAATGACACAAAGTCACCAGCAACACAAATAACACAAAGTCACCAGCAACACAAATACACAAAGTCGCCAGCATCACAAATACACGAAGTCACCAGCACCACAAATAACACAAAGTCACCAGCAACACAAACACACAAAGTCACCAGCAACACAAATACACAAAGTCACCAGCAACACAAATACACAAAGTCACCAGCAACACAAATACACAAAGTCACCAGCAACACAAATACACAAAGTCACCAGCAACACAAATACACAAAGTCACCAGCAACACAAACACACAAAGTCACCAGCAACACAAATAACACAAAGTCGCCAGCAACACAAATAACACAAAGTCGCCAGCAACATAAATAAAACAAACGCTATAAATCCACGCGCTGTGGCGCTAAAAGCACCGTGCACAACACGAAAGAAAAGTCACGTGGTGGTGCTGGTGGTGGTGGTCATCGCTGCACGTCACGGTGACGCGCGAGCGCTTCAGAAGGTGAACACGTGGTGGGTGCCGTCCACGCCGGTACAGAGAGGGGCTTGTCCGGCTCCCCCAGCGTTCGAACAAGACGCGCTGCACATCACGAGAGAGATAGAGAGAGACGCAGACTTCAAATGTACAGCATCGTAATATATAATTATACACTGGAGGAATCTGATGAGCTATGAAGCTCTTTTTCAGAGATGTCGGGTAAGGAGCACGAGGTGAGAACGATTCAGAAAGGCAACATAAGTGCAACGTACAAGAAAGGGTTATCAAATCACCCAAACACAATCAAGTGAAACTAAACCATCCCCATACAGCAGGCAACCCCACTGGAGGTATTGACGTATTTTTCAGAAGCAGCCTGGCCATCACAAGTTTACTTTTCGGTTTCGGCCGAAAGTTACATTTTAACTTTCGGTTTACTTATCATCACGTGGGTATTGAGAGCGGCAAAAAAAAAGAATCTAAGAGCGTGACGTTGTTTCCTAAATGTGGAAGGAAGACGCGGAGGACCCGGTGAGAAATCCACGCGACCATCACGGGGAGAGATACAGAGAGACGCAGACTCCAAATACACGGTTGGGATCGAACCCACGACCTCCCGCATACCAGGCGAGTTAGTTGATATCTCCCCCTCCACCGTGGCAGAGGTGAAAGTACCCACATTTTACCCCAACCGCACGCGACCTGCCGATCGACTGGGATCTGCAGAGGTGGTAGGTGGGATTTCAGAATATTATAATTTTTATTTATTTATACTGCAGGAGGAAATCCGAGGAGCTATAAAGCTCTATTTTGTCACTGATGTCCAGTAAGGGGCACTCGTTAAGAACGTTACAGCACCAAACGATTCAGGAACAGGACAGGAGTGCGACGTGCAGGAAAGCCAAACAAATCACCCAAACACAAACAAAATAAAACTAAACCATTGCCCATCCTACCTCCAGTGGCAAAGCCCTCTGGAGGCATTAACTTATTTTTAAAAAGTGACCTGGACATCGCAAGCGATAGCTCAACAAAGCGGTATCATCATCATCATCATCATAATGTGGACATTGATAGCAGTAGCCGAACACTTTCTGAACACGAGATTTTGATTCTAAATGTGGAGGAGAAACCCGGAGGAGCCGGAGAAAAATCCACGGGGAGAGGGAGAGAGAGAGAGAGACGCAGACTCCAAATATAGAGGAGGCGTCGTCAGGGTCGGGATCGAACCCACAGACGTCCTGTATAGCAGGCGA